TGTCAAAGCCCGCGAAACGTACGACGGATCGCGGGCTTTGAGACCGGCCTAAGGTAAGCTAAACATTCTCGTTTTTGCTTGCTTGTGCAGCATATAGTATGGGGTAATGTATCTTGCTTTTTTCAAAGAGGAGCCACATGCTGCCATTTTCAGGTTGCGACATACGATTTCCCGACTCAATGCTTTCACGATTTCATGCTACAGTACGACGGTTTCCATCAGGAAGCAATTCCGGATTGTTTCTTATAGCTGCAGGGTATTGCTAGGCAACATTAGCTCCCTCACATTCATGCAATTAATTGGCCTTGAATTCACTTTTCTTTGAAGGGTAGCGTAATCTTTTCAGAACTGCTGAAGTTTTTCTCAATGGAGTTGGCCTACTGAGCAATGTTCCAGTACGCCTGAATCCGGGTGATATTATGACCGTGTCAAAAAGTAGGTAAACCTTCGGTTAGCTTTGAATTGTGGGTGAAATCAATGTCCTACAAGCACATAGCGCGTTACCTGACTGAACCAATGCAGTTGCCACAATATTCTGAGTGATCACTTATGCTAGTGAAATAATCTGTTCATTTTTCAGACCGGCATAAAATCAATGTAGTTTTCAATATGGAGGAGGTTCCTGGACAAGGTAATTTTTAGTGCTATGATAGTTCCCCAGCAACCCCCTCGGGTGTGGTTTGCTAGAGCAGAAAGCGACTTTTTCGCTTTGCGCACCGTTGAAATTTTTCGCTGCGGGATCCCCAGGTCACCACTGATTGGCAGTAGACCTGGGATTCTGGCGGAATAGCGGGAAGTTCGCTCTTTGCCCTGTGCCACACCCAACTACGTCCGCCTCTCCAGCCCCTATTAGCGCTGAGATGAAACAACAACGAAATTGCCATCAATTTTTTTGATAAGTCCCACGAATTTTCAAACAATAACCCGTCACCTGTCGTCTCAATGTGCTGGAGTGGGCTCTACAATGTCTTCGTTCATCCCTATCGCGAGCAAGAGCACCCCACTGAATCCTCCTCACTCGAAAGACGTGCAATCTTTCATTCCTTTCATCAAGAGCTTTCATAAAGAGGTCTGACCCGTCCCGAGGGATCCAGTCGGTAACCTCACTGATCTAACAGTCATCACTGACGGGTTCGTCCTACTGGCCTTCGATTCCTTGTGAAAACGGCAGCGTCCCTGATCTTCGACGTTGGCGTAGTTCGGAACTCCGGATTCCCCTCTGCACTTGCGTGTATAGGGTTACTCCTAGCATCGTCCTCTCGACAGCGCGTTGGATAACGCTGACCGCATGCTCGTCCTGCCTGCGCAGAGTCCAAGTCTCTGAGGCGTAGGTTAGGGCAGGAAGGACAGCGGAATCGAAGAGGTGGGCACGGAGCCGGATGTTCTTCGTCTTCTTCACTACTCCCTCGATGTTCTACGCTCCCCAAGCCGCTCGTTTCCTCCTGCTCAGCTCTGGAGCTAGATCGTTCATCATATTGATTTCCCGACCTAGGTACACGTAGCTGGAGCATTCGGTGATGTTCGTTCCGTTGAGCGTGAATGGGGCATCAGGAACAGCCTGTCTTAAAACCGTTATCCATATCTTTGAAAAACCTCTCCTGCTCTTCTTGAGGGTTTATTGTTGATCTCAGCAAAGATCTTCGTTTTCTTCTCCGTCCCGCTTGGGATTCCTCAACAGGCGATGTCATACTCAGCTTGGTCAGCATAGAAGGTGGTTTCTATTGATGACGTTATATTCGATTTAACCCAGCTGCTTTTCACAATTCATGAAATTCGTATGAATGCAAAGAGCTAAAGTTCTTAATCCTATATGATTAAGCGCTCAATAACCTTCATGACAATGATCGGACGCACATATCGTGGCAGGTTGGCGGTAGTCATTACGTTCGCTATCTCGATGACAAGAATGTGTATGTGCTTGGAGGCGGTAAGGGTACGTCTGAATCTCCTGTTTGATAATGCATTCGATTCTTTCTTTCATTCATCCTCCATTTGCTTATTAGTTCTCTTCTGTACATAGTTTAGCGAAATAGTGCAGTGTAGTGGTACGGGCTCTGAGGCAAGAGAATCTTTCGATTTTTTGGCTAGTTCCCTTTGTTTTTTGTGGTATCGCCCAAAATACTTCTCCCAATTTTGACTTGTTGAAAAAAAAGGCTGAGTTGGAATGAAATGGCGCCCCGGTAGCGTAACTGGTAGCGCACTTGCACGGAAAGCAGAAGGGTGCGGGCTTCAAAGGACCGTACGGGGCGAAAGTTTTGTTCACAACCAGCATTCTAGTGAAACTTCTCCCAATGTTATTTCTTCAACTGTTACTTGGGATCTTACTTATACACCTGAATAAGAAGTTTGCCAGCAGTTTCCAACAACATTTGGCGGATTGCTCCGACTCAACATAGATCAACAGATTCGCGCTCAGACCGCCGTCACACTCGGCGACGGACGATGGAGCAACGCGATTGCTCCACGCTTGTCCATCGCGTTGCAATCGCTCGACCGAGAGCGATTGGCAAGCGACGGACAAGCGATGGAGCGATCGCGATCGCTCCATCGCTTGTCCGTCGCCGACTATGACGTCGGTCTCAGAGCTGAAAACCCATCCCATTGTGTATGTCTCATTGAATATGGTTCTTCGTCAGAGACCTTCCCTTGAGTTGTGTTCAGAGCAGAAGACCTTGCTAACAGGATGGTTCTTTTTTCGAATAATCATAAAAAAATTTTGAAGACTGTGATGTATCAACGCCATACGAACGTCTACACGCAAAACTACGCCGTGTTGTTGAAAATGGCGTAACTTCATATACGCTTGAAAAATCGCCCTATAGGTGAGAGTAAATGTGTGTACTACTTTATCAACTTGTTGATGCTTCAATACTTTGAAATTTCGGGGCGGTAATCGTCTCAGACTTGTTGTCAGCCATCCGTGGTGCTCACAGCTGGACCACGCTAGTGCTGATTGTTACGGCAGCGCAATGCTAAAAAGCGTTACATCTCAGCTAAAGTAGTCAGTTAGCGGTTCAAATTCAAAATGAACAGTTTCGATTTTAGAGAGTGCTCAGTTCTACTTAATGGAGTTCCTTTGACTCTCCGGAAGAAAATGTGGGTATCGTCCGGCGATGTCATAAGCGCTTCAAACGGTCAGTTCAGTTGATGGACTTCCAACTCAGCATTCCTAGCTTGCTTTTCCATTTATATCTTCATGCGAATTGAGCTGTAGTAGATGCGTACAAAATTCGTTCAATCGAGAAGTGACGGTTCTATTCTGAATCCATTCGTAATCACCTACCGACAACATAAACCACCACTTTTGTAGCCGTTACGTTACAAATATTGTCCTGAGTGGATGTTTTTCTTTGAAAACTTCTTGGCCATTTTCATAACGATTTGCCAGGTTCTCTAGAACTGTTATCGTTTTCACAAAATATTTGAGGGTAAACGACTAGTGATTAAAAAACATGAAGCAATGCATGCACAACAGCGGTCGTCAATGGGTTAAGTTGGTTTCATACTTGTACAGTTGTTTGTATATCAGATGTTGCAGGGCCTCGGAGCATTCGTCTGCACTTTCACTGCAGTACCACAAACATGGAAGTTGTCGTCCCTGAATCGACTACTTCAAGTCAAACAGTAGAGAATGAAATTCGTAAGTAATATTTTCAATTACTCCTTGTTGATGGTTCAATGTGGTATTGTGTGCACGTCTCATAGGAACTGCTTAGAGATAACTGGGTTTTAACGATAAGGGCCGTGTATAAGGAAATTGAGGGGAGAATGTGTAGGAAAGGAAGCCATTTGTGACGGGTAATTTGACCGTTTTGGAGAACGCTCCAAGAGTGAGGCTGAATTATACAAAATTGCAGCATTGTCGTTTCTTTACCCCCGCCCCACGGCCAGTGAGGGGGATGGGGATCAAATACTATAGAAACAATTGTGGTAGAGTTGTGCTCGTGGGTGGCTAGTTGTGTTACTTCTTGATATTCACTGGCATTTTCTGAAAAATATCACAGTTTGAACGGAAGTGGTGTAGTGTCAAATGGCGCTGCTTGAATATTGGATGGTGCGCCGACCTCGTCTTTTCATCCTTCTGAGGTCAGCTGGTTGGTACCAGACCTATCTGGAAGGATAAAAAACAGTCTTTACACATATCGGCTGATCGTGTGCATGTAGGACAAACAGCATTCAAGATTTTGAATGGAAATAGAGTGTGTGGAGCATCTTAAAAGGGTAAACGACGCCATATGCTTTATCTTTTGATTGAAATCTGCAGTGAAGGTTACTTTTTTGTCACTCAGATTTTCGAAATTCTGTCGTTGTTCTGAGTCAACCGATCACAATTCTCATATAATTTTCAATTTCACTGTACATGCTGCAGTGCTATGATTTAAGGGACTGATGAGAGAGTGCTGCATAAAGGGAGTTCACGACGGTCCGGAAAGCGGCGACTGGTTTGCTGATGTTCTGTATTTCTATTTCTGTTTTATTTCTTGCTTGCTAATGTGCATTCAGGAAGAAGTCGATGCGGACCCACAGTCGAAGGTGAAAACCGAGGTAGTGATTGGTCTAGAAATCTTATCAGATAAGTGTTGTAGAGCTGAGGAATATTTAAACTTTCAGGAATTGTGTGATACGAATGAAAGATTGAAAAAAGACTTGTTCACATGGTTCCTCGAGATTGAAGATCACCTAACGTGTAGTATTTGCTTCAGTATATTTTACAAGCCGGCAAAGTGAGTGGAAGTCTTGTTAATCGCAGTTGACTATGCCACTAGAATTTTAAGCACATCTCACCATTCATTTACATGAATTACATTTACATTCATTTACATTTACACAGTGGCTCCGAGTTTCTATGCATGCATTCCAGCGTGAGTCCATGTAACCACAAATTTTGCTTAGCGTGTATCTCAAAATGGAGGTTGCAGAGCACGTCGATGGATAGCTGTCCTGAGGTAACCTTCGATAACCTTTCCCCGTAAGCAGAAACAGATAGACACCTACCTTGGTGTTTTCGGATTTTGAGAGGAGGAACTGGTTGTCGCTGCAGTATTAAGAGCAACGTACATCTTCTAAATGCATACTTCTACCCAATAAAGGTTTCTATGTTGCTACTCGAGGAAAGAGAGGGGGGAGGACGTGTCTTTTCAACACCTTGACGACAGCGCGGCAACTATGTATGCCGCCATTTTCGCACCTCATCGGACATTGTGGCAACTATGTATGCCACACCCATTACATTTATTTTTTGCGCACATGTCCGATTTCTTCCCAAGTTTTTTGTGTTCATTTCATAGGCCATACATCAGCATAACACAGCCACGTGGTTCGTGGTTATTCTTCTTTGGCCGAGGCCCGGAAGTGGCGCGCAGAACCCCCGCCCGAGTTCTGTGGTCAGTATGCGAGGGCTACCGAGGAGTGAACGGCCTCGGCCAAAGAAGAATAACCAAGAACCACGTGGCTTACAGAATGACCAAATATTCTTTAGTTTGGCAGAGGTTTTCCGGACCTTACGAAAATATCTGTTCAGTTCATTCCTCATTTTCTTTTCATTAACGTAAACATGTAGATAAAAAGAATATAGAAGTGAATACAAACCTACTCGTGTGGCAAGATATGTGTTTTTACCGAAACAACCACGTCCAAAATAATTTTGAAATCACTAAAGCAAAAGTAAGTGAAACTTGCCTTTTCAATGCTGTAACACATCATTCGACCGCACTTTCACATGTGTACCTTCCAATAAGTTTGACACACCGAATATCAGTGGAAACATTTTGTCGCATCGAAGTATTGCGTATTTAAAGCTCAAAATCCACGGATTTGTTGTGAGGCGGCGGCGCTCGCTGAAATCCCAAGACGCGCGATGTCGTCAACGTGTTAAGCTTACCATTAGCATATATTCATTGATACTTAAGCGGTGTCCTCTTACGAAAAAAGAAGCGCACTGTCAAATGATGCTGTATACTTTAAAACAATGGTTAGGACCAGTCAGTCCAACCTTCAAAGAACGTAAGTGCAGGCGGCTGTCGTTATTCTTTTTAAGGTCGCAATTGTAAGTCGTTGTATTCAGTATTTTACAGTGTCGTACAGGCGATAAGAAGTGTGGGGAAAGATTCTCTGATAAATGCGTTTGTTTCCATGTTTTTGGACTATTTTCCAGGTAAATTTACTTGTTTTTTAAGAAGAGTGAATTTGTGCATGTTAAGCATGGATATTGAGCTCTTTTCGTCGCGTAGCTAAATTCCATCGTAGCTCATTTCAGAAAAATCGCGAGATGCTGAAGATATCCGTTTGATGAACAAGATCGAGTCTGACTTCGCCAGTCAGTTTGTGCCGCCTCCTCAAGATGGTACCGCGTTGCTATGTGAGCGAAGCTTCTCCATTCATGGATCTCTTTTTAAATTTTAAGTATGGTGCTGAGTGCTACTTTACCCGCATAATTTTTTTCAAAACTCTTTGAAACCGCTCTTATTGAGGTGTCATATTCATCACGACTGTGCATAACAGTCCTCCATCCATCTGCAAGTCAATTGATACCGCTCTCAGAATTACGCCCTCTTCAACGGGAAGAAAAAGTGGACGTGAATCATGAAGCCAAGATTCTGTATAGTGTTATGCATTCGCTCGTAAAATGTGGGTTGGAGTTGACCTCGGTATGAGCAATTTCATTATGAAGCTTTCAACTTTGAGATTATCGGAGCAAGTTTACGCGGCTGAAAAATAGGTGTCACACTAGCGGTTGGTAGCGGTTGAAATTCTGTATGATGCGTTCAGCAATTTAGTGGATATGGAACCTGCTTGCGGTGAGGCACCTCCTAGAGTCATTGTCGCATACCCAAGTGCTTAATTCCACGATGCTAGTATTTGGTTGTAAGTTCACGAATTTTCAATTTTTTAGTGAACAATTTTGTCAGGCAATCAAAACTGTCGACCCAAAAAGACAGCAAAAACTGCTGTTGCATTGCGGGTTGTTAAGGGTTAGGTTATAGGGGGGGAGGGGGTGCACTGCGGCTCGGCGACGACGCCTGTTTCGTCGGTCTCGAGACTTTAGTACAGGCAGTTACTATTCTGCAGTTGGCAGATACGAAATGGTATGGACTAAGCGTGTGAGGAGCAGTGAGAACAGCGGCGGCGCTCATGGTCCTCCACTCCCACCATTAGCACCCACGTGCCTTCCGCGCATCACTCCAACTGTGAAGATTTCATCTTCCCAACTTGTACGATGTAAAATGCATACGCATCTCTGCCTCTCCTATACAAGGTGATAACTTTGCGGAGGAAACTGAGCGCAGCGGAAGGCGTTCAAGTATTCGCGGGGGAGAGAGAACGGTTGCTGGGGGGAGGTGAGAGGGCAAAACTGGTCAATCTAAAATGGTCATTCGAAATGTGCTGTAACTATTGCTATTGTTGGTTCTTATTTCAGATTCGCTGTATCGTCGCAGAGACCTGATTTTGTTCAGAATGGGCAATGTGGAAGAAAGCGATGAGCTTGAGACGTGAAATGTGTTCACTCCTGCAAACTGCTCTCATAATTCGTTTGTTTTTTCTCGATGACATTGTGGGTTAAAACAGTATAGCACCATTTTTAGTGATTAATGTCTCTTAATGCTGTTCTCTGGTGCAAAAAATAAAATAATTTCATTTGTGTTGTTTGTATGAGCAGGGTTTGCGCAATAGGTTCTGGCTGAACGACTGTAGACGTTCCCAGCTTTTTCATAATGAGCTGCCGCATTGTGTCATAAGAATCCTACTTACTATAGAGCGCTTCGTCTGTCTGTCTGTCTGTCTGTCTCTTGTATGTATGTATGTATGTATGTATGTATGTATGTATGTATGTATGTATGTATGTATGCACGTCACGAATTCTAGCTCCTTGAGATCCATCTGCAGAGACCGTGTCAGGTGTGGGATGGATGGGCCAGGTCTCGAGAAGTACAAAACATGCATCAGGTAAGTGGAGCTCACCCACAGTGGGTGTGGTGTGTATCGAAATGAGCGGTACTGACGGCCATTTCAGATTAGATTTCCAGAACAGCCTAGAAACTGGGGGGGGGGGTTGGATATGGTAAGGTTAATAGTGTGTTTGATTTTTGAAAAGTCAGATTTAGAATTAGGAAGCTACTCCGGTGGGGCGGGCGTTATTCAGGAGCAGTGTTTTATGAAAAAAGTTCGTAACTCGGTTGCTGAGAAAGTGCAGAGCAGAGAAGAATGAATGTGGGAGTAATTGTTTGAGGTGTCTTCAGATAAATAGATTGGTGGCGGAGGCCGTGCCTATATAGGGCGGAGCGTGATCATTTATTTGACGAGCGTTTCCTTTACAAGAGTTTGATCATTCTGCTCAAGTATGACATAGAGAACGGTATAATGTATGCTATTAGAGGTTATAAGACGGAGGGGAAGCTAAATGTCAAGGTTAGGTAGGGCGTACACAAAATCGGGAGGAGTTTGCAAAAGGAGTTTGGCTTATAGCTCGGTTACTGGAAGTTCCGGAAATGGGAAAGAATAGATACAGGCTGGCGACGGGAAGGAAGTCATCGTATTTGGTGGATGCGGTGCTTACAGCAAAGTATGGTCGGTTCATGTTGCCGAATATAAAGTGGTTCCATTGAAGTATTCTTTCTGAGACGGCGAAAATTGATAGATGCCTGCGAAGGGAAGGAATTGAGTTTTTAATAGTGGGCGGAGAATGCACCGAAAGGGGCGGAGTTTCTTGCCAGACTGGACTGTGTATGTGCGCGCAACGCGTGCGGCGCAACTGGTATTGTATATGTTACTGTATTATTTTATCTATTGTTGCAATGGCAGGTAGCGATGCCGTTAGGAATTTCAATAAGTTTGGGGAATAGGAGGGGAGAGATGCAGTGAAAATGAGAAGGTGACAATCTTCTTAGAGTGTGGGAGAAGTTTCTCCGCAGTAATCATTATATTCCAGAATCCTTTCCAGGATCACATAAACGTTATGGTCAACTGTTCCCAGTCTTCTAAGAATTCGCTTTGATTGAACATGGTAAAATAAAAAGAACGACGACGGCTGCTCGTGATGTGGTCGTTGATCGACACTGAACGTTTTATCCCTTTAATGTTGTTCTTGCTTGTAATTGGAGTTTGAGGTGTGGAAGCCAAGAGCAACCAATATCCGAAAAATCTTTTCTCTATGGAGAACCTGGAAAATCCAATTGCCATGTAATTTTCACACTACAGCAAGCAACTGTCGACAAAGTGTGGATAGGGGGAATGCATCATACCAGCACAGTTTGTGAAATCAAGTTTGCGCGCTATCGCAACATACGAGGGCATCATCTGGGAGTAAGCCTGGGAGGAGGCAAGAGGGGAGGGCGAGCATCGCACACGCATCCTGGTGCCTCTCCTGACCCGTTCAGGACTTTGTTTCGTTTTCAACAAAATTAGATGTTTTACGCGGTTCCTAATGCATCCCCCACAATGCCTTGGTATATTGTGATAGGGTCAAGTTTTGTTCAGGTGTTCTTCCATGATTTGAGGTCGCCTTATTGCTGCTATGAAAAAGGAATAGTCAGTACAGTTAATGCTAGCCGTAATCAACGCTAGCTGTGTAGTTTATCTACTCGGCACAACAGCACAGAACTAATGAATTCAGATTTATTGTCTAATAGACAGCGAATGCCGATCACTACAGTGAATATCATGGTAGGATACAGGCGGATAACGGACGTGGTTGAGCAGCTGGGCCCGAGGCTGGCGGGAGCAAAGTCGACCGTCTCGAATGACCATTCCCGCTCCACCCTCCTTCGGTCGACCGTTATCTCCGCGATCTGAAAATTGCAACATTAGCTGCGTTGTAAGCTGAATCATCCCTCTTCTCCTCTGACCTTTCTAAACCCTAGTTGGACCTTACACTATCTAATCACTCGCACGTATAGACCTGCGGCGAGTGATTAGATAGTCGGTGGGCGTACCCCGCCAACCGCGCCAAGAGTGAGCCATGCTAGATCGCCGAGGTCAAATCTTTCGCTGCCAATTGCGTGTCGTCAGCACCCTCAGGAGGTCCGCCTGTCTCCCAACTATGCAATTTTCCCCTTCTTTGACCTTCGTTT